AGCTCATCGCAAACACCCCTTCCCCGTCTCCCCACTCTCCCTCACGTGCTCATCTTATCTAAAGAAAGTTAAAATGTTTAGCCAACTGGGTCTAGTTTAGATTGTGTGGTTGACTCCAGCCAATGGGGAAAGGGCACAGGGGCAAGATTTGCATCAGGAATAAAAATTTTCTTCCTCCTTTGTTCTAGTGTGCTCTCATGGTGACTGGCCAAGAAGAAGCACCCGTCTACGCAGAAGTAAAATTGCTTTGCTGAAAAATCCTTTGTTTGAGTGCTCATCTCCCTTAAGATTCTGAGCTTTATTTCCAACAAGGAAGATGATAGAGGTACCTAGATTGAAGAAATGAATGGTCTCTCTAGGAAACAAACAAGACTTTTTGCTTTTGCAAACCTCTCTTCTTTAAAGGTTACCCCTCTCCCAGACTCAATGCTTTCTTCCTCTGCCATTTCAGCAGACAGTTCACAAGCTGCCTCTTTTTGTTTATGCAGAGCAGCTTCAGAACCACAAATTAAACTCACCCAGACACAATCAACCTATTCTTCTCAAAGCCTCCCATTCTATGCTCCCACAAATTGCCCCACTCACCTTCAGTCCAAAGTAGAGGAGTCTTGAATTAGGGGGGAAGAGTGAGGGCAGGGCAGGAGCAGGCGTGGACCAGATTCACTCACAGGAGCTGAGTGAGAAACGAAAGTTAAGTTCTCAGAAGTGAAAGAAAACAAAGGAAGCTGAATAGGAGCTTACATAACAATAAGCCCTGGGGAATAGTAATGTTGCAGTATGTTTTAGCATCTGCTGTACCGGCAAGGTACTCAGTCACTACTTCCTTATTCTTAGTGTGGTTTCCTCAAGCAAGAATATTTGAATAAAAAGAATGTGAATTACAGTTATACATTCTACAGCTTGTCTGAACACTTAGAATTCCAATGCAGTCCTAAAATTATTATCAAATTTATCTTCTATTTAAAACCTAAGCAAGGAAAATAAAGATCCAGAGACTTGGGACCTAGCTTCTTGAAATGCAGTCTGATGAGGAAGATACTCAGTTATAAAGCTCTACAAATTTGGACTGACAAGATGAGTATTAGCAGCTGACATTGTGAATGGTAAAAATAAAATTATTTTTATAAATAAAAGGACCTTTAGTGTGAGCCCATTGAAAAAAATGTTCTCCAAATGTCATTAAATCTTCAAAGTCCATCAGTTAATTATCACTTCCTGCTCCTAATCCAGACAGGCCAGATGAGGATGGATTCCAGAGAATAACAGAGGTAAAACTGTGTCAGTGTCATGTTACCTAGCCAGGGAGGCAAGTGAGGACATGGAAGTTAATGGATGATGCTGTTTAATTATAATCATTCACTGAGTTACTCTCATGCCTTCACAATTTTTCCACTTTTCCCTGCTTCCCTAAGAAAAATTTGGTCACTTTTACACAATCAATTAAAAAGTAGCACTGAAACATGTTATGTGTCATGCACATACTTCTGTGCACTGTTGTCTATCATATTCTTGTTTGTTTAACTGCATGTGCCAGATAATGCCATAAAAAGCTGATGGAGGCCCATAATGTCTCATGCCTGTAATCCCAGCACTCTGGGAGGCCCAGGTGGGTGGATCACTTGAGCCCAGGACTTCAACGCCAGCCTGGGCAACATGGTGAAATCCCATCTCTAAGAAAAATTAAAAAAAAAAAAAATAGCTACGTGTGGTCATGTGCACCTGTAGCCCCAGCTACTAGGGAAACTGAGATGGGAGGATGGTTTGAGCCCAGGAGGTAGAGGTTGCATTGAGCCAAGATTGCACCATTGCACCATAGCACTCCAGCCTGGGTGACATAGTAAGACTTTGTCTCTACAAAAAACAAACACAACACACCACACCACACACACACACACACACACACCCCAAAAAAAGAAAAAGGCAGCTCATGGAGCTTCCATAACGTGGATCCCTGACTGACACTATGGAGCATGGCCATCTTCATACTTTAATCAATGATACACATGTAGGATGACTGAGAAATCAATGTTTATTATTTAAATAATAGGTACTTTGGTATTAATTGTTGCTCACAAAATAATAAGCTAATCCTGGCTATAAATTCTTTCCTACTCACTTATATCTATGAGGACCTTATTCAATCAGTTGAAAGCCTCAAGAGAAGAAAAAACTGACATCTCCCCCAGAAGAGGTAATATTACCAGCAGGCAAACTTCAGGCTTGAGCAATAACATTGACTCCTTCTTGGATCCAGAGTCTCTTGGTCCACCTTGCAGACTTTGGATTTGCTAATTTCCAAAATCACATGAGACATTTCTCAAGTCTCTTTCCAAATAAATTCATAGTTTAGTGATTCCATTGCTGTGATGAACCTTGACTAAGACAGGCATGAATGCAGAGAAATAAGCAAGAGATGTAATTTTAGGTATATTCCATGTTTGAATCGAATATCTTGTTGACATTTGTAGGGGAGTGAGGGCTCAGTGAGTGAATGTGTTTTTTTGGAGTGCACAGAGTGGAGTCCAAGTGTCAACCACAATGGACAAAGTGAATGAATTCATTTATCCAGAGACCTTTTCTCTGTCCTTTATTTCTTCCCTTCTCAGCACTTCCATAGATCTCATAGCCATCCTTTTCTTCTCCTCTGCCTTTAAACATCTGAACTGACCTTTCATCCTGTTCTGATTTATCTCATGAAGTATTAATTGCAGCTGAGAGAAAGCAATAGGAATATTAGGTCCTGACAAGATACCAGAAAACCTGGGCCAATAGGAAACCTGAATGCACCACACATAATTTGTCACCAGATTTGAGCATGTTGGCAGGCTCCATATTCTAACTTATGCTCTAAATTGTAGAAAATATAAATTATTGTTGGGTCTTTGTGTTTTCTCTGTAAACCTTATGTATCCTGCTTTCCTGCTTGACAAGGAATCATGAAATATCTCCACCTTTGAGTCCATGGATGTTTAACATTTTTCTCCTCAAGAAAAGGAGCAAAGTAAGAGTAAATATGGTTAGAGTCTGAATAATAGGAAGAAAACAGAGAGGATATTTTTAAAAATCGTTTAAAATTTGTTTAAAAATTTACATAATTATTACTTTTTTTTTTTTTTTCTGAGACAGAATCTCACTCTATTGCCCAGGCTGGAGTGTACTGGCACGATCTCAGCTCACTTCAACCTTCACTTTCCGGGTTCACGCAATTCTCCTTCCTCAGCCTCCTGAGTAGCTGGGATTACAGGCATCCGCCATTACACCCAGCTAATTTTTGTATTTTTAGTAGAGATGAAGTTTCACCATGTCGATCAGGCTTGTCTCAAACTCCTGACCTCAAGTTATCCACCCCCCTCGGCCTCCCGAAGTGCTAGGATTACAGGAGTGAGCCAATGTGAGAGTAATTATTACATAATAATTACTAATGCCACATAAGTATTACTAATTAATAATTAGTAATATTAATTCTCATTAATAATAACTAATTATTATTAATTGATTGTAATTATTAATAATAATAACTCATTATAATTATTACGGCCACATAATTATTACTAATGCCAGAAGAATATTTGAATTAAACTATGTGACACAGCAGTTATCCTTACAGCAAGAATAGAACAGAAATGTGACATCAAGATATTCAATTCAATTAAAATTAGATTAATAGCTATATATCTTCATATCTGTCTCTTTAAATGTTACTCCTTATATACACCATATTCTGGTAAATCTGAGGCAATAAAGAACAAAATGTAAAAACCCCCTACCTGACTTCATGAAACTTAAAGCCGGGGCCTACAGTGTGGAGGGGGTATGGGGTTACTGATGATGGGATTAAGTGATAACAGGCTGCCCACTACAGTGCTCCCCATTACCTTCTCCTCAGGCATTTTCATTTTCAAACTAAATACTCCTCTCTACCAGTGATCCTAGTTCCAGTGTGGACTTCCTGAAATGTTCCAGTAAAGGAAGGCTTAGAAGGGAGGCTATGGTACATGGACCACAGTTCAGCCTTTTGGACAAGTTTTACATAGTAACCAGAAGAGAAGAGAGGAAGGCCTGGCCCTGCTCTGGGATGGAATAGATACTTTGAAAAAGACAACAAGGGGAAGTTGGAGAGTTCTTTGAAAGTTAACAGTTGAACTGCTGTCAGTGTAATAATGTGGTGTTTCTTCATGGCCCTCCAGATAAATTTCTTTTCTTTTTTTCTTTTTTCTTTTGACGGAGTCTCGCTCTGTCACCCAGGCTGTAGGTGCAGGGGCGTGATTTCCAGTCACTGCAAGCTCTGCCTCCCGGGTTCATGCCATTCTCCTGCCTCAGCCTTCCAAGTAGCTGGGACCACAGGTGCCCGCCACCACGCCCAGCTAATTTTGTGTGTGTGTGTGTTTTTTATAAGTAGAGACGGGTTTTCACCGTGTTAGTCAGGATGGTCTCGATCTCCTGATGTCGTGATCCGCCCACCTCGGCCTCCCAAAGTGCGCGTGAGCCACCGCGCCCGGCCCTCTCCAGATACATTTCTAGCATCCTGTCCTCTCTGGGACTGGGAGTCTTAATAATATGACATCTCTTCTATCTGTAGCTCCTTTTCTGTTCATAGGTCCTATAAGATTTTTAAGTCCAGACCAGAAATCTACTGCGATTCTCTAAAAATCATTAACTTTATTCTTCCTTCTCTTTGGGCCATATCTGTCACCCAGAAGCAGAACTCAGCTGCGAGATCGGGAGCAAGAGGAGCACTTTGGAAGAATTTCGATAAAGGACACCTTTTCTAATTTTTAATGCTTGGTTGGGTTAATCTGAAACTATGTCAGAAGTGGCATGATAACAAGATCCTGAGACTCAAGAGAAAAGGGAAATAGAGTGGGGATGCCTCTATTTCCCTTCACAGGCTCCTCCTGTGAACAGCACAGCTAAACAGCAGGCTGACTCATTCAGAGGGCGGGACTCAACCAGGCCCTACGTGGAGAAACGCCATTGGCCTGTAGTTTATCTTTCACTTTCCTGCCCCGATGTGAGCAAGAATTTCCTGCACTTCCTCTAGGAAAATTCCTTTGCGCAAATCAGTCCCCTGGATTGGTGAGTGAATCCTAACCATGTCTTTCCTGGCCTGCCTTCACTCTTCTCCCCAAACTCACTACTTCTGCACTGGTGTCTGACGGTGTATTGAGTGACTTTGTGGAGGGCAGAAGTAGGAAGTCTTTGGGACAAAACTGAATTTACCTTGGTGAGTTTAACTTATCTGAAAAGCTGTTCGGGATGGGGAAAAGACACCGTTCACAGACGTCCTGCTGCCAGAGCTGACTGAGGGGAATAGAGCTGCCTGGTGGGCGGGCAGATTTGAAAGAAGGGAGAGCTTTAAAGTGAAGCGCTTTGTTTCCTGGAAGGCTGGTTATTTTTCCAGGCTGACTCTCTCGCCATCCCCTCTCTAGTCTATAATTTTTTATTGAACTTTGCTGTAGAGAGCCAGAATTCTCTTTCAGTGCCTTCTCCCAACAAGGGCAAAGACAGGGGCCTTGGAACCCTAATGATTTAATGCCTATCAGTGTGCTAATGTAGTGTTTCTGCATAACTCTACAGGTCAGCTCTCATCACCTGGGCCTGTCTCTGTGGCATCACCTTGGTGGTGTGACAGCTGTCCAGCTCTGTAGCCCTGTCATTGTCACTGGTAAACGGAGTTATTTCCCTAGTTCATATTGGTTACAAAGATAATGGCAAAAAAAGACAAGCAGGTTTTATTGCTTGCTGGGAGTGGAGAATAAGAGAACTCCTTCTCTAAAGCCCCCTCCCCCGAAACAGTGGAAAGCATGGGCTTTAAAAGAACTCTGCATGGGAAGAGAAAGGAGTGTTAGCCTGCAGGGTGGAGCTCCAGTTGTGCCACCTCTGTTTATAAACACATGTCTTCATACAACACATGCCACAAAGTGGTGGAGATTTTCTTGTTTGCTGTCGGGGTGGGGTAACACTCTAGTGATATGTTAATAATCTCAAGGCAATGAGGGATTGTCTGTTCCAGTTTACGCAGGTTTGGGGGACTAATTTCCCCCTTGGATCTGGTCGGGGTGAAGATCTGGACCATGCTGGGCAGTCTGGCTTCTTTAAGCAGCTTTGTCTATAAATAAAAGGAATAAAGAAAACCATTAAGAAAAATAACTTTCCCAGTTATTTCATCAGGGCTTCCCTGGTGACAGCATCTGTTTACCCTTACTAGGCACCAAGTCCAGACTCAGGGAACAACTGGATTTCCTTAAAAATCATTAACTTTGCTCCTCCCTCTCCTTCCGCCGTATGTGCCCTGCAAAAGCAGAGCTTAGGTGAGATACAAAGAGCAGCAGAAGCATATGAAGGAATACCCAGAGATGGCACCGTTTCTAACTTTTAATAAACAAAATGAGTACTTGTGTAAACCAAAAATAAAATTCTGTGGCCCCTAGCCACCTGAATGGACTTTCTCAGCCAGGCTGCTCTTAAAATGTAACCTGAAAGACTGATTCAGGCCATGACAGGAAATGGAAGTGGGACCTGACTCATTATTCCTCTCCAGCATGAACTTCAACATAGATCCTAAGTCTGCTAAGAAACATTTCAGTCTCTTCTCTCTGAAGCCTGATACCCTAAGGCTGCATCTGCACAGTAAGAACTTTGGTCTCCACAGTTGCTTATCTGAACTCAGACATTTCCTTTCTATTGATCCCAGGTCTTTAGATAAAGACAGTTGTCAACCAGAGTCTTTCTTAAATGTATTTGATTGAAGTATCTTGTCTCCTTAAAATATATGAAACCAAGCTACACCCCAACCAGCTTGGACACATGTTCTTAGGATCTCCTGAGGGCTGTGTCATGGGGCATCGTCACTCATATTTGGCACAGAATAAATCTCTTCAAAATGTTTTACAGAGTTTGACCCTTTTCACCGACACTTGGTTGATATTAATGATATCAGATGTCAGAAGTGGTGTGATAACAGGATCCTGAGACACATGAGAGAGGGAGTCTCTCTCATGGGGACCCTCTGTATTCAACTCCAAATGTCCTTCCCATGAAAGATATAGCTGCACTTAAGCTAATTCAAGCTTATATGGAAGACTCCAGGCAAAACTGTTTCCTCATCCCAACTTCCCTTCACCTGACCAAATCTTACTGCCTTAAGGTTGATTTTGGAGAGCTCACCTCTGCTTCATGTTTCTTGTCCCTGCTTCTGGTGATAAATCAGTGTTTGGCACCCATCTTCTGAACTCATACAGAATACCTTTCTGGTGGCATTGTAAACCAAATAAACTAATGGAAGGGGGCCTCACTCAATTTGGATGTTTATTTTGCCAGGGTTGAGGACATGCCTAGGAAAAAGGAGCATAAAATCACAGGAACATCTGTGATTCATACTTTTTCCAAAGGGGGTTTGAGGACTTCAGTATTTAAAGGGGAAAGAGAAAAGAAAAAAATGGAGGAGAGTCGATAAAAGAAGCAAAAGGTTACATTCTTTTGAGGCTTTAGCTAGCGTTAGCTGAATCCGTAATTTACATGTTAAAGGAGGGCTTGGAGGAGTAATCAATTACGCACTGTCTCCCACTCAGTGAATCTGCATTTTTACAAAAGATAAACAGGGAGTAGCAGAAACAGTCAAACATGCATTTGTCTCAGGTGAGCTGAGGGATGATTTATCCTCTGTCTTTGTCCCATACTAGTGAAGATAAGCTTGCTAATTGACATTGTCAGGGTGAAATTCAACAGATCTCCGTTTCAGAGTAAAGACCTTGGGGCCCACAAGAAATTTCCTTGTGAGCAAATTGTGAGGGAAGCCACCTGGGAGGTATGTGGCTTTGCAGCTATGATATCTTTGCAGCTATCTAGGAACAAAATATTATAGAAGGTGGCCCAATTCCCAAGCTTTAGTATTCCCTTTGGCATAGTGAGTTTGGGGCCCCAGATTGTTATTTTCCTTTCACACCATATATTTCAAGATTTTGGAATTGATTCGATAATCTTCGGCTTCTATTTTTTTATTTTGCTGGTATGGTGGGGAGTATACCATTAAATGGTTGTGATACTGTGAAATACGTTTGGTCTTCATCACTAAACCTAGCATACATCTCCTACAATTCTTGAATCTGCAAAGTGGTAAGTGTCTTTTTGTATGATAATTAATCAATTAATGACTGGCAGCCCCTCGGTAGCTTCAGGAGTGGGGGTCCTCGCCAGAAAGACTAAGGCAGAAAATGAGGGTTGGGACTTTCAGCTCAACCCACCAACCTCTGGGTAGAAGAGAGGGGCGAAAGATTAAGTTGTACTGATAGCCAGTGATTTAATCTATTATACCAATGTAATGATGCCTCCATGAAAACCTAAAAGGACAGGGTTCAATAAGGTTCCAAATAGCTGAACACTTGGAGGTTTCTGGAGCGTAGTGTGCCTGCTGAGGGCAGGGAAGCTCCATGCCCCTTCTCTCATGTGTCAGCCTATGCCTCTATCTGTATACTTTGTGATGTCCTTCATAATAAACCAGTACATATAAAGGGGAGAACCCTGACTTATAGCCAGTCAGGCAGAAGCACAGGTAAAACAAGCTGAGTCTTGGAGTTGGCATCAGAAGTTGGGGAGCAGTCTGTGGGCCCAAGCCTTCAGCCTCTGGAGTCTGAAGCTATCTCCAGGTATAGTGTCAGAATTGAATTAGAAGACACCCCATTGGAGTTTGCTGCTGAAAGAAGGCCTCCTTCTAGTTTTGGGAAAAACTCTCACAAATTTGATCAGAGAAGTCTTCTGTGTTGATTGTTTACTGAGAGTATAGGCGATGCTGAGTTTCTTTGTTTCCTACACAGCACTATGGATACAGCTCTGACTGGAGGAACACCAGGTTTTTGGTCTTGGCGCCGATAGGATTAATGACATGGACACACGTGGAGTGATTTTAAGGAGCGAAAAGTTTAATTGGCAAGAAGGAAGGAAGGAAGAAGAAAACAGCTCCCCCAAACAGAGACAGGGGAAGGGGGGTTTTGGCAAAGAGAAAAACCTCTTGTGTGGTAGAAAAGTGGCTGCTTATACTAGGAGGCTGGAGGAGGTGGTGTCTGATTTGCATAGAACTCAGGGGATTGGTTTGACCAGACATGTCATTCATGTGACTCGGGAAAAAACTGGCCCTCTCACCCTAGCCTTTCAATATGCAAATGCAGGGCACCACAATGTTTTACCCATGGTGGGGATACATGGTGGCAGCTATATTGCCAGGCACATACTGGGGCAAGGAAGAAGATGGTGGGAATCACCAGGTTTGGATGGACCCAGTTTCTAATGGCCAGCATTTGCATATTACAGCTTGCTGGCCCAGCTCTAAGAGCTGGGGCTTTTCTGCTAGACAAATGTTTCTGGAGCTGCTTTAAAACAAACGAAAACTTCCCAAGGACCCCTTTTCCTCTCTATCTGCCTAAAATAATTTCTTAATAACTCCTATAACAGTATTAGATGATATTGCTTAGCAAATGAATCTCAGTACAGTTTCATTTTTCCCACCTATGTATGAAAGGTGATGCCTTCCCATATAACATCAGTAATTTGCAGCTATATTATGCTTAGAGAAACAGTTTTACCCCGGTCACAGGAGAAGAAAATTCTGTCTATATGCATTTTGCTTGGATTTTACAAAAACTTGTTATTGTCTTGTAATGTCTTTGTTGCTTGTGTTTAGCTGTCACCTCTAGGACATGTTGAATTTACATTTTCATGATCTCAGATGTCAGAAGGTCCATGTGTAAGGTGCAATAACCTGACATGTATGGCAGGTTGCTGACCTGAGAGATACCAGGCAGATAATTGTGTTCCCATCTCAACCTCCCTGACTGCTGTGCAGCCCTTGGGTCACTGCTTCGGTAGTGGCGGGGTTAGCCCCATGTGTGAAAATTCTGGTACCTCTGCATATTCCTCTTACTATGTCTGTTATGGCAGCAGTTACTTTGACATGGGCTCCTTGTAATATCACATCAAACATAAATTTCACAGCCTCATGGCAGAAGGCAGTCTCCGTTCCTCTCTCCTGTAGGCTCTTGATGCATTTCAGTGCTGATGCAATTTTTAATGGCATAAAAGATAAATGGAGTCCTCACTCTCATGTTTGGATCACAACTTGAGTCATAAACAAGGCTAGACATTATCATATGATTTAAACCTCTGATCTTGCTATTTATCAGAGCCTGATACAGGCCAATGTCCCTGAAGCATAACAGTATATGCCGTTGGCCCATTTTCAGTATCTATACCAATGGATGGATTGTGCCTCCATCCCACCTTCATTCAGCCTTGTTCTTTATGGCCTTCACAGATGATGGGAGCAGTATACAGTTTTTGTAGGTCTGAATTTATCTCCATATAGCCTTTATAACATTTCTCTCTTTTTCAGAGCAAGGGAAAGACTCATCAGCTGTCTCATAGTGGAGATCTTTGTTTTACCATGAACCCTTGACAGCCAGCAACACATCAGTATCCATTAATGTCTTCTCTTACCTTGTTTTTAGCTTTACAGCTCCATTTACCTGGAACTCCTGACAGCCCTTGATCCTAGATTGAGGCCACAGGGTCATTACTGAACCCAGGTCTGTCAGTCAACATTTCTGAGCCACCATTCTGTGATATTTCCCCGACTGAACAACAGCAGCAGTTTCCAATCTGATTTGCAGTTCCCCTTGTGGGAGATAATAGCCCTAAACTAGCCAGGTTCGTGTAGTTCAGCCAGGGTATGCAGGACGGAAGAACCATGTGGCACAGCCTCCTCAGATGAGTTCTCAGTGAGAGTCCCTAGGGTAGTACAGGAGGTATTATCTCTATCATGTGAGTTTTTTAAGGAATGAAACTGGCTGGATGTGTGTGAAACTGCTGTAGGTTAGATAAGCTTAGTACCCCAAAGGACTGATTATCTTGTGAAAGCTCATGAGAACAGTTCTCAGGGACTTAAAAAAGGGACATACCTGGTTCTGTGGTGGAAAATGAGGTCTGTTCCTACCAACTGGAATTTAAGATCTATATACAGCCTTCCTAGTCCAAATCTGCTTTATATATCAGAATATAATTACTATCGATATATTATTGTACTATACTATTACTATATATTTCTATTACAGAATATATTGCTGTCAATAACAGCCTCATGTAGGCTAGCAAGACAGCTGACATTTCACTCTATTGTAACCCAATAAATTTCCCAGAAGAAAACAATACCGAAAGGATAAGCTAGTATCATCTTTATAGGAGAAAAGAGCTCAAGCCTGATATTAACCTTTTGTTCCCACATGTGTAGTCTAGTTCCCAACACTGTTCCTTTTATCTCGATTTATCTCTCACTCTCATTTGCTCTCCATTTCCTCCATCACCTTGTCCTGCAAGCTGTCATCAGCTCTCTCCTATATCCTAACTAATCTTCCCCCTTGCACACTAGATCTGTCTAACCTTTTGCAACCCATGCTCAAAGTTAATGATGTCCCCACTTCTGCTGATTGAGACTGATAACTTTAATGGACAGTTGACACTAATAATTTTTCCTCGCTCTTTTTTTTTCTTTTGAGACGGAGTTTCACTCTTGTTGCCCAGGCCGGAGTGCAATGGCGCGATCTGGGCTCACCGCAACTTCCACCTCCAGGGTTCAAGTGATTCTCCTGCCTCAGCCTCCCGAGTAGCTGGGATTATAGGCATGCGCCACCAGGCCTGGCTAATTTTGTGTTTTTAGTAGAGGCGTGGTTTCTCTGTGTTGGTCAGACTGGTCTTGAACTCCCGACCTCAGGTGATCTGCCCACCTCGGCCTCCCAAAGTGGTGGGATTACAGGTGTGAGCCACCGCACCCAGCCTAATTTTTCCTCGCTCTTAAGAAAGAGTTCCCAAATGTTATGTCATTTGTGATGTGTCACATTTTCTGATCCCTGTAATACTAAAAGTCTAACAGGTCTGTGCACAATACACACCATAATAAGTCTGTGCACAAGAGGAAAATGGCAATTTAAAACCCTTAGATGTTGCATTTTCCATGAACAAGTTATTCATATATGTAATTTCTTCTACTAATACATTTGCCCTGTTCTCATCCTACGTTTTCTCATATCACGCTTCAGTTAAACCTTTATGTTTTCAATTAGTAATTCTTGGATAACCCTGGCTTCGCTTCATTATTTGACTTATCAAGAGCACTTACCTCTCTCTAGTAGTATTCATCACATCTGCTATTTTGTATATATATGACTGATCATTTAGTTTACTATAATGTTTTAGGTGAATGCCAAGTTTACAGTAGATTAAACACCACATTAATCTTTGTCTTGATTGTGGTCCAGTTGCTAGCATATAATCAATCTTCAACAATAATTTGTCAAATTGTGGCAGGCCAAGTTTCACTAACGCAGGCCTCCATAACAACTGTTCAGTTGTTAACTGAGTGTTAAGTTACTTTTTTTTTTTTTCTTCAGACAGAGCCTTGCTCTGTTGCCTAGGCTGGTGTGTAGTGGTATGATCTCGGCTCATTGCAACCCCCACATTCCAGGTTGAAGCAATTCTCCTGCCTCAGCCACCCAAGTAGCTGGGATTACAGGCATCCACCACCAAGCCCAGCTAATTTTTGTATTTTTAGTAGAGACAGAATTTCACCATGTTGGCCAAGCTGGTCTTGAACTCCCTGCCTCAGGTGATCTGCCTGCCTCAGTCTCTCAAAGTGCTAGGATTACAAGCGTGAGCCACCACACCTGGCTGGTTAAGTTAAATATTAAAAGCTGAGGCTGGGCGCAGTGTCTCACGCCTGTAATCCCAGCACTTCAGGTGGCCGAGGCAGGCGGATCACAAGGTCAGGATTTCGAGATCAGCCTGGCCAATATGGTGAAACCCCGTTTCTACCAAAAATACAAAAATTAGCCGGGTGTGGTGGTGCGTGCCTGTGGTCCCAGCTGCTTGGGAGGCTGAGGCAGAGGAGTCACTTGAACCTGGGAGGTGGATGTTGCGGTGAGCCGAGATTGAGCCATTGCATTCCAGCCTGGGCAAAAGAGCAAGACTCCGTCTCAAAAAAAATAAAAATAAAAGCTGATAGAGCCAGTGCCCTTATACAAAGGCTGGAAATTAACAGAAGCCCACCGAGAGTTTTGCCGAGACCTTTTCTGGGCCTTGAAGCATGACAAGATAACGAAGGAATCGATTAGGACCTGTTTAGGATTTAAAAAGTTGTATGGGGGTCTGAAGGAACTCCCCAAACCTTAATGATTTAGCAGGAGAGACAAGATAAGGGTAATCACCCCAGCAGCTGGACCCATCTAGATTAAGTAAATTCACTGAGGCTCCAGAGGAAGGTCTTTAAAACTCAGACCTTAGTTATAGATTAGAAGAAGAAGTTAATCACTTATGTTTTTAGATGAATGCACAACTATACCTAGACATATAGCTTAGAAGGTATATAAGCTCTGGAAAACTTTGTAATTTTGAGTCGGTCTGGCAATATTTTCTAGGCCTTCTCTGTGTGTGCAGTTACAGAAATAAAAATTCCCTTCTTTCCCAGTAAATCTGCATCTTGTTATTGGGCCGCGAGAATAAGCAGCCGACCCTTCGTTTGGTCCAGGAACAAAATCATCTCATCTAGTATTTTAAGACTTCTCTCTCAAGACTGATATCCATTTCCTCTGTGTTTCTAGTTTTCAAGTCTCTGACATGTGTGATCCACTATTTATCATTACTTTCTACACTATGTCCATACCTTTAGGCTCCCATAAATGTCCTTGGCAAACTTTCAGGACGAGACTCCCCAGAACCTTCCAGCTGTTGTGGATTCCTCTACTTCCACACCCCAATTGCTCTGAGTATTAATTGAATATGTGCCATTATATCCATTTGTCATCAATTAACCAAAAGAGTAGCAAAGAGGCCACTGAAAGAGGACCCTGAATACGGGGTCATCTCAGGTCACCATATTGAAGATAAATAATTTTTGTAAATCACTTATTATGTCAATTTATAAATTTGATGAAACAGTCATTCACTCTGCTGATAATAAGAGCAATCATTGCAAATGTACAGTGAGTGGTGAGATTTGTTATACTGCATATAAGGTAGTCAGAGCAGGTATTTTTGATAATACAACATGTAAGGAGAGAATTTAATAAAATCATACTAACATCAGAGAAACATTTCATGCTGAGAGAAGAGCAAATGTGAAAGCCCTGAGGCATAAATGATTTGGTGGTTGTAATATTGAGGATGTGTTTTGGCTTGGGAAAGAAAAGCCCTGAGAGATGATGGGTCACACAAAGATCTTGGTAGAAAAGACCTCAGTCTGTTTTCTGTTCATTGAAAGTAAAGAAAAATGATAACCAATGCACAGATAAGAACAGAATTTGTCATATGACACGAACTGGGAGTAAAGTATTTAAGGTGATTACGAAAAGCCCTTATTACCAGGTAACCAAACATGTTTTCTTATTTCTCCCCTTTTTTTTTTGTCCTTAACTATTTTCATCTTGCCCATTTTCTAATTGTGTACAATCAATATCCTTTCTATTTCTACCTTTCTTACTTAGTCCCATTTTAACCTTCCCAATCATGCAGGGATCTGTGAACAAGACGAACCTCAGCAGCCAGGACAGGCAGGAGCAGTGGAGAAGCTGCTATGGCTTCTGGAATCCTGCTTAATGTAAAGGAGGAGGTGACCTGTCCCATCTGCCTGGAACTCCTGACAGAACCCCTGAGTCTGCCCTGCGGCCACAGCTTCTGCCAAGCGTGCATCACTGCAAACCACAAGGAGTCCATGCTATACAAAGAAGAAGAGAGAAGCTGCCCTGTGTGCCGGATCAGTTACCAGCCTGAGAATATACAGCCTAATCGGCATGTAGCCAACATAGTGGAGAAGCTCAGAGAGGTCAAGTTGAGCCCAGAAGAGGGGCAGAAGGTTGATCACTGTGCACGCCATGGAGAGAAACTCCTACTCTTCTGTCAGGAGGACAGCAAGGTCATTTGCTGGCTTTGTGAGCGGTCTCAGGAGCACCGTGGTCACCACACTTTCCTCATGGAGGAGGTTGCCCAGGAGTACCATGTAAGAGACTGGGATGGAAGGAAGAGAGGGCAGAAAATGGGACCTGATGGAAAATTTTCACTTTGCCTTTGACATTAATTGCCTTGTCATCATAGACCTGAGGCCTGGGATTATTTTTTTTCACGCTATGCTTAACTTCTGAGGCTTGAAGGACGGTTTTTTGCATTTCACCCAGTTACTGGAGAATAATCCTAGAGTATATATTCCTGGCCAGGAGTAAATATTTTGTACCTTGGGTTAGATGGGTAGAGATTTGGTGTCCAAGAAAAGCTCTGATTACCCCTTTCAGCAGGAGAGTAACTGCAGTGGGTTGAGATGTAAGTTCTTTCCTTGCTACAGGATCAGATTTTTCTTCTAGGACAAAAAGAATCAGTCTACTCATGGTGAGGAGATGGGGAGGTCTATTACCTGAGATGTAGGGAGCATATTCGCCAATGTAAGTTTTCTTCCAAGTCATGGAGTCTCATTGCCATTCTCACAGTTTCTGCAAATTTGTTTCTTCTGAGCTCAACCTGATTTCACGTTTATACTCTACCTAGGTGCTGAGAAAGCTCATAGCTTGACTATGGTGTGATTCCTTTCTCACAGGTGAAGCTCCAGACAGCTCTGGAGATGCTGAGGCAGAAGCAGCAGGAAGCTGAAAAGTTGGAAGCTGACATCAGAGAAGAGAAAGCTTCCTGGAAGGCAAGAGGATGTGGTTCCCAAAGGAGTTAGCTAGAAATCTGGGCAGGACCATGGGAAGGAACTTTTTTCCTCTTTATTCCCTGACACTTGATAAGTCCAGATGTCATTTGATTAGTCCTCTTCATTCTTTCCCTGATGGGGTGTGGTGGCTGGGAAGTAAATATGCCATAATGAACACAGACATCTGTAGGGAGCTGTTTACATGAAGGATCTCTCTGGTAAGGATGGCTAGTGAATCCTGCATTCTATTTTTGTGCTACTTTCTGAGTCCATGACTCTACTTTGGGAAGATATTTGGCAGTGGCTCATGATTCTGTCCTCAATGTCCAACTTTTGGCAGGGAGTTTGAGCTTGGGCTGATAAAAGTAATATAGGCAGGCATGAGTGTCCTGGACAACTGCGTGAAAGGCAAGCTACATCCAGGTAACCCATTTTGACTCAGAATGAACCTCAACATACCCATTCAAGGTCATTGTTTTAAAATGTCATGAAGGAAAAGAAATAGGAAAATCAGCTTTCCTACGACCTACTCTCCTGCTACTGTGTCCCCCCTTGTGAAAACTCCCCAAAAGAAACAGTTCTTTTTCTGACTAACAGCCTCTGCCTGGTAGACTGAGTGCCCCTTTCTCTTCTCATCTCTGAAGATTCAAATAGACTACGACAAAACCAACGTCTCGGCAGATTTTGAGCAACTGAGAGAGATCCTGGACTGGGAGGAGAGCAATGAGCTGCAGAACCTGGAGAAGGAGGAAGAAGACATTCTGAAAAGCCTTACGAAGTCTGAAACGGAGATGGTGCAGCAGACCCAGTACATGAGAGAGCTCATCTCAGATCTGGAGCATCGGTTGCAGGGGTCAATGATGGAGCTGCTGCAGGTAAAAAGTGGAAAGAAGCCTGAGCATTGAGATTAAAGAAAAGTGAAGGCTATTTCCTTTTCTGTGTTGCTGTGCTCTTTCTAATACTAACAGTGTTCCCTGCAGGACCGCTTTTCTGAATCAGTTGCTGAAGTTATAGGAATAATTGAATGTAGAAGTAACAAGAGATAATCCCATTTTTATTAATTTATCCCAGAGCAGTACACAAATTTGACATAGTAGAGGTGATCAGTTAGCTCTAGTTATGTTTGATGGGTTCCTATTCTCTGTAATCCAGTGTTAAGCCCTTATCAGTGCAGTTTTCATTGCTTAGCTTAGCCACTGGCAAACAAATACACATCAAAATACAAGATACTTTTTATTGTTTCCCTTCATGAAATTAATTGAGACTTTTTCCTCTTTATTTTCTGAAAAAAAATAAATAACTGCTATCACTTCTTTATATGCTGAACAGAATTCACTAGTAAAGGTCGGGCACGGTGGATCACGACGTCAGGAGATTGAGACTATCCTGGCTAACACGGTGAAACCCCGTCTCTACTAAAAATACAAAAAATTAGCCAGGTGTGGTGGCAAGTGCCTTTAATCCCAGCTACTTGGGAGGCTGAGGCAGGAGAATGGCGTGAACCCGGGAGGCGGAGTTTGCAGTGAGCCAAGATGGCGCCACTGCACTCCAGCCTGGGTGACAGTGCAAGACTCCATCTCAAAAAAAAAAAAAAAAAAAACAACGAAAACTGCTCTCATCCCAATTTTCATGATGTTAACTGTAACTGTTAACTATAATTGCCACATTGTGCAATAGAGCTCTTAAAGATATTCTTCTTTTCATTCTGAAGTTGGTATCCCTTTACCAACATGGGCCTGAACTCTCCCTACACCCCAGCTCCTGGAAACCCGTCTTCCACTCTCGACTTCTATGAGCTCAACTATTTTTTACATCTACATACTAAGTGATATTATAAGGTATTTGTCTTTCTGTTTCTGACTTATTTTACTTAAAGTCCTCCATGGTGTGAGATAGTCTTCTGCATATGGCTATCCAGTTGTTCCAATACAGTGTATTGAAGAGACTGTCCTTCCCTCAATGAATGCTGTTACCACTGTCAAAAACTAACTGATCATAAAGGTATGAATTTTTTTCTGGGTTACTATACTGTTCCATTGGTCTATGTGTCTGTTTCTAATGCTAGCACTATACTGTTTAGATTACTATAGCTTCATAATATATTTTGAAGTCAGGTATGATGCTTCCAGCATTATTCTTTTTGTTCAGGATTTCTTTGGTGATTTAGGGTCTTTTCTGGTCTCATACAAACTTGAGGGGGTTTTTTTTTTATCTATTTTTGTAAGAAATGTCAGAATTTCAGTAAGGATTGCATGGAATCTGTAGATTACTTTGGGTAACATGTACATTTAAGGATATTACAACTAGACTACCACCATATTACAACTCATCATTACAGCAGCCTTAGAGCAGGCTTATAAGAGGTCCTAAAGGGAGTGCTAAACATGGAATAGAAAGAACAACTGATACAAAAAAAAAAAAAAAAAAACACACTAACGCACATACCCTACAGATGATATAAAACAAGTACACAATCAAGTTTACCTAACAGCCAATGAACAGCATAATGTCACATATCAATACTAACCCAGAATGTAAATGAACTCAATCCACTACTTAAAAGACATAAAGTGGCAAAAGGAATAAAAAGATAAGACTCAACCCTGTCTGCTGTCTTCAAGAGACCCATCTCACATGTAATGACACCCACAGGCTCAAAGCAAGGGAGTGGAGAAAGACCTAATGGAAATGGAAAACAAAAAGGAGCAGGAGTAGCTATTCTTATATCAGATAAAACATACTTTTTGAACAATGACAACTAAGGACAAAAAGAGCAAACATGATAAAGGGTATCATTCAACAGGAAGACTTAACCATCTTAAATATATATGCACCATAGGTAGGAACACTCAGATTCACAAAACAAGCTTTTCTTCACCTGAGAAAAGACTTAGACGACCTCACAATAATACTGGGAGACAACAACATTTCACTGAAAGCATTAGACAGATCATCAAGGCAGAAAACTAACAAAGAAACTCTAGACTTAAACATGACCCCTGACCAACTGCATCTAATACACATCTACAGAATACTTCATGAAACAACCACAGAAAATACATTTTTCTCATCTGGACCAGAACATATTCTATCATCAGTCACATGTTGGGTCATAAAGCAAGTCTCAATATATTAAAAAAAAAAAAAAAAAAAAACTGGCCAGGCACGGTGGCTCACGCCTGTAATCCCAGCACTTTGGGAGGCCGAGGCGGGCGGATCACGAGGTCAAGAGATTGAGACCATTCTGGCCAACATGGTGAAACCCCGTCTCTACTAAAAATACAAAAATTAACCAGGCATGGTAGCGGGTGCCTGTAGTCCCAGCTACTCAGGAGGCTGAGGCAGGAGAATGGCGTGAACCCGGGAGGCGGAGGTTGCAGTGAGCCAAGATCGCGCCACTGCACTCCAGCCTGGGCGACAGAGCGAGACTCCGTCTCAAAAAAAAAAAAAATAGAAATCAATATCAAGGAGACCTCTCAAAACTACACAAATACATGCAAATTAAACAACTTGCTCCTTAATAACTCCTGAGTGAATACTGACATTAAGGCAGGAATCAAAAAATTATTTGAAAACTATAAAAATAAGAACAAAACTTACAAAAATCTCTGGCATGCAGCTAAAACAATTAAGAGGAAACTTTATAGCACAAAGCACCTTCATTAAAGAGTTAGAAAGATTTCAAATTAACAATCTAACTTTCCATCTAGAAGAATGAGAAAGAAAAGAATGAACCATTCCTCCAAAGTAGCGGAAGAAAATAAATAAGTAAAACTGGAGAAGAACTGAATAAAATTGAGGCACAAAAACCCATGCAAAAGATTACTGAAGCTAACAGTTGGTTCTTCAAAAGAATAAACAAAACTGGGTTTTCAAATTTGTTGTTTCCTTATGTTTATGTCTGTACGTTTGCAGAAGGACATAATTTAGCTTCTGTGCACTGGCTTTGTTTGTTTTCCGAGATTCTAGGCATACTGTCTGCTATGGTTCAAGGGCAAGCTTGCTGCTTCAGCGTTCAGGCAGGGTGGCCCAGAGTCAGGAGGTGGCCAGGCCTGGCAGCTGACTCTACAGAGTTGGACCTATAGCCTGAGTCCATGACAGTGAGCCTAGAGCCTGTATCTCTGGGGGCTATCCTGAATCCTCAATTCACAGGTCTTGATCTGATACTGCAGTGGGCCTTGAGCTAAAGTTAGCAGAATCTGGCCAGTTCATGGGCTCTGATCTGGCACTAGGGTCCACTGGGAGTGGACCTGGATCCTAAGTATACTGGAGCCCAGTCTAGACTCTAGGTCCTCTGGAGCCTGGGTCAACAGTGACCCTCCTGGTGCTGGAGCCAGTGTTTAGTCTGGGTTTACTAAGGCGAGTCCGGAGCCCAAGATCACAGGCACTGACCTGGTGCCTGGAGCCTCTGTCCCTTGGTGCTAGAATAGAAGTTGATTGTGCAGGTGCTATCCTAAAGCTTAGGTCCACAAGTGCAGACCTGGGTCCTGAGGCCTCAGGGGCTGGCCTGGAACAAGGATACACAGTGGCAGAGCTGGAGCTGGATGCAGTCCAGCAATGTGTTCTATTTGGACAGGCTTTACGTTCGGTGTGCTGGAGCAGGCCTGGATTCTGAGTCTGCTGGCTCGTGGACTCACAGGATCAAGCCTGGAGGGTAAGGCCATGGGGGACTGGCCTGGCACTGAATAGGCCTGGAGCCTGTGTTCTCAAATACCTACCTGGTGTTTGTGGCCCAGGGTGCTGCGCTGGCACTGTAGTAGGACTGAAGCCTGGAGCCATTAGGGGATGCTGTGGGGTTGGATGGGCCTGTGTCATATGTCTGCAGGAACTAGGCTGAAGGATGTGTCTGCAGGTACCCATGATGACTAATACTGTGGAAGTCAGTGTGATGCTGTAGCAGACTTAAAGCCTGGGGCCATGGAGACCAGTTGGATACTGGAGGCAGTTTGGAGCCTGGGGCCACTGGGGAAAGCCTGAACCTAGGCCATGCTAGAAGGCTGATTCTGTGGGGGCTGACCTGGCACCAGGGCCAGTATGCACCCTGGGGTAAACCTGGCTCTGGGGCAGGATTATAGACCGAGTCCATTGGGCAGGACTTGAGCCTGAGGCTGCGGGATACTGTGTGGCATAGGGTTGGGCTTGGAGATTCGGTCCGTGGGTACTGGCCTATAGCCTGTATATGCAGGGACTGAACTGAAGGCTAGGTTCAGAATTGTCAGCCTGATAACTAGGGATACAAGGCTAGATCTGGTGCTGGTATGGGCCAGAAGGCTATGGCCATCAGGGCCTGAGGTCAGCCTGGCTGTGGGGCCAATCTGGAGCCTGACGCTATTGGACTGTCCTAAAACTGAGATTGGTCCTACCACTGAGGGCAACCTGGCATTTAGATGGCCCGTAGACTGAGTCCACTGCACAGATCTGGAGCCTAGGGCTGTAAGATACAGCCTGGAGGCTTATCCGTAGGTACCAGTCTGGAGTCTGGTGCCTTCAGACCTGCCAGATGGGGTTTTACTAGATTGAACCCAGTGTTAGGGCCTGAGGTAACTTTTGGCGCTGATTTTCCCCTTTCTCCTTGTGGGGGTTACCTCTCACATGCTATGCTGCCTAGAGTTGTAAGAGGGGTGAAATAGAAAATGTAAAACTGTCCTTCCTACATTCTTCCATGAGTGTTTTTCTTATTTCTGTGCTATACCCAGATGCTGTAAGCTCCCACCCTATTTCTTACTTCTGGTGAGGTGTTTTAGTTCTTGGATGGTGGTTTAAATTGTTTTTGCGGGGAGACAACTGCTAGAAACTCCTATGATACTATTTTGCTGACACCATCTGCAATTCCTTTCATTTCTATCTACAGCACACACACTTATGTCTCCTCTTT